TCTTTTAAATTCACATCTCTGAAGTGAGTCTGGACGTCAGCTGCGCTTTCAACAACCACCACCTCCATAGACACAGTAGCTGACAGAGAAGGTTCTCCATGATCTGAAACCAACACAACCAACGGATGGGTTTTCAGGTCATTGTCGCTCAATCTCCTCTTAGTCCTTATTTCCCCGGTGCTGGTTCCAATCCGAAACAGGTTGTTTCCTTTGGGCTCAGTCAGGTGGTATGACAGCAGCGCATTGTATCCAGAGTCTGCGTCCACAGCCCTGATCTTTGCTACAAAGTACCCTGCCTCAGCAGTATAAGGGATGGTCTCACTGTTAACAGAACCATGCTCAGAATAAGGTGCTAATATGGTTGGACTGTTGTCATTTTCATCGAGGATTAAAACATTTACAGTCACGTTGCTGCTGAGCGGAGGAACACCAGAGTCCGTGGCCTGAACTTTAAACTGGAACGTTTTTAACTCCTCGTAGTCAAATGTTTGCAGACCAGTTATATCTCCAGTGTCTGAATTTATGCTTAATAAAGAAGAAATTGGAATATTTTTCGAAAAGGTTTTCAAAAGTTTGTAATTAACCAGTGCATTATCACCTAGATCCAGATCAACGGCATTTATTGTGCAAATTTTGGAATCGACGGGGCTGTTTTCTTTCACATAAACATGAAACACAGGTTCAGTAAAACGAGGTGCGTTATCGTTGATGTCGGCGACGTGAACGGTAATTACTTTGATACTCGAAAGAGATGGAATTCCCTCATCTGAAGCTGAAATGGTTATGTTATAAGTAGAAATTGTTTCTCTGTCTAGTGGTCCATCAACTATTAAAGAGTAGTCATTTTTGTAGTTGGACTTCAGTTTAAAAGGAAAGGATCCAATTATGCTGCACTTAGTTACACCATTATTCCCTCCATCTTTATCACTCACTGTAATAAAAGCAACTATCGTACCAAGCTCTGCGTTTTCTTTTACTGGTGTCATTAAGGATGTAACTGATATTTCAGGAGCATTGTCATTAACATCGATCACCTCTATTAGTAGTTTAGCATAAGCACTTCGGGGTGAGGGTCCGTGATCTTTCGCTTGAACTCTGATTTCATAAGCACGTGTTTCTTCAAAATCTAAACTCCCTTTCACTGTTATTTCTCCTGTTTCTGAGTTAAGTTCAAAAAGATTTGATGGATCCGTATTTCCTGTTTTTATGAAGAAATAATGAATCCAGCTGTTTATCCCTTCGTCCAAATCTGTCGCACTTAATTTGACAACAAATGTTCCAGGAGTAACATTTTCTTTTATTTGTACTTTGTAAAGAGATTTACTAAACACGGGAGTGTTGTCATTTACATCGATAACGTTAACAGTCAACTGCAATGTTCCTGACCGTGGTGGCTTACCTCCATCTACAGCAGTCAAAACAAGTTTGATTACTGGTTGTTTTTCTCTATCTAAAGCTTTTTGCAGGACCAACTCAGCTAAAACGCCGTGTTCTCCACCACTTTGTATATCAAGTGAGAAATGCTCATTCTGACTCAGCTTGTAGGATTTCAATCCGTTGCTTCCTATATCTGCATCCACCGCTACAGGGAGAGGAAATCTCTCTCCTGGCGATAATAACTCCGAAATATTTAATGCATGCGTTTGCTCAATAAAGGAAGGTGCGTTATCATTAACATCAAGAATGTTTATCTCAATGCGATGTACATTCATTGGGTTGTTTAAAGCCGCTTGTATGTTAATGGAGCATTTTATCACATATGGACAAACCTCCTCTCTGTCAATTCCCTCGGCAACAAAGAGGTTCCCGGTCTGCAAATTTACATCAAAATACGCTTTGCTCAAACCAGAAATAATACGAAGATCCCTGTCTTTCAGATCCTTCACGTTGAGATTTAAATCCTTAGCAATATTACCGACAACAGTCCCTTTGTTCGCTCCCTCGGAAACTGAATAAGATAACTGCGATGCGGACCGTTCACAAAGACAAAGCAGTCCAAGAAAATTAATCCAAAGATGTCCGTGTTTTCTTCGCCAAAACATCCTTATAGTGGCAACAGACCAGAGCCCAATATACCATTTATCCTCGATAAAAATCCTAATTTTCAGAGCGTCATTGATCCTTTTCTTATCTCCACAGCCGAGTGGCAGGAAACTACAACAGCATATCACGGGGTACTTTTTTCCCAACGTGAACGAGGAAGGGGTATGGACGTATAAAGTATTTCATACTAATGGTCTCGAGTGACATCATGTGGCAGAATACATATAAACACACACAAATAATGTAATGTAGTATGAACGTTTTAAATGGGAGAGACGTTGACTTATGGTGCTCATATATTTTAGTAAAAAACATATATAATATTCACGGATGAGTTCAAAATATGTACATTTAGATGTTAAGGCTACTTTAAAAGTACAAAGCGAGATTTCTATATTAAAAAAAAAAAAAAAAAAAAAAAAAAAAAAAAAAACAAGTCCAGTGGATTTTATTTTAAACGTTTACAGAATGACCATGACCTGGATGACTGGGAATCTTCATCAGCATTAAAAATAATCTTTGAAAAAATATTATGCTTGTTTTAAATCTATTTCATTTTACAGAGTACTAAGATAAGTTTCATCTAATACTATATACCACTTTAAATTGTAGAAACAAAAAAATTGCAAGGACAGTTCAGGGCCCATACAGTGTTTTAGTACCACGGATAGCTCCGAATTAGCTAAACCCGTTTGTTATGAATAATACGTTTGTAAAAAAAAATGAATAAATAAAAATAAAGTAAAAAAATATACCCTGTTTTGTAATTATTGGAAAATTTGTGTGATGCCTAATAGTGCAAAAATAAATATTGAAGTATGCATTACTACTTAATGAAAACGTAGAACATTCGACGGAAGACCAAGATTTTTTGTAAGACATTCCGATTATCTATCGCAGCTTTAAAAGTTTGTGTATATGCTATGTTATGGGTTTATCCAGTAACTTATTGCTGGTAAGGGAACTTTAAACTACGTGGATGTTCACATGACCATTTTATTATGAGGAAGATGTATCCGATAGTTTATCCCACTCCCATAAAAAATTTGAGTAAGGTCATTTTTGTTAGTATGAAGAAAACAAAAACAGGTATTTTAATGAAATACTGAGTTGTTTTTAAATGCTTGTTAGTTTGATCCTAACAAAAATAAATGATATTGATCGTATTTTGAAAGTTTTTAAAAACCCAGGTAAATATGGAGCAACTAATTTCAGTTATACTAGAATGTATTTTGTGACACATCTCTAAGCAGTTGTAGACAGAAGCTTCAAAAGAAAGATGACATAAAAGTTTATAATGTCTGAAATGTCTGGCAGGGAAGACAGGAGATGATAAATTAACAGCCGAGCCTTTTGAAAAGTCAGAATATTTTTGCTCTTTAATACTATAAAAAATGGCCAGATGTAAACAATAGAATTAAAAACATCTCTAGGGGTGCACCAAACCTGACTATAAGTTCTGACTCTTGACGTCAGTTTTTTTTTTTGGGCCATGGGTACGGCCCTGATTTAATGTTAAATTTTGTATTGTAAAATTGTTTTGATGTCAAATATATTTATTGGTAATGTATGATGCAGTAATTGGATGTTAGTTTCATGCTTTGGTTGGACTTTTTTTTGAACAACCATGAGCTTCTGTAGAATATTTATCATGGCAGTAGACATTTTGAACAATCTTTAACATCAAATAGATGTAACGGTGCCTGCTGGAATTGCTGGCACTCATAAAAGTGTGCTCCACTTGTGAATATTAGAAAAAATAAAAATCCAAACTTAACGTGTCTATATTTCAATTCAAAAGTAAAATAAAATATAAAACCATAGTCACATCGATAGCCTACCTTGTTTGTGTTTGGTAGCGTCTGATTCCTGGTAAAAGGTTCTTCACCATTAATACTGATCAGTTCAGCGTCTACATGTGGAAATGGTGCTGGGAAAACCATGACATCACTCTTCAGTGTGTCTGAGCTGAAACACACGTCATACTGCTGGGTAGCTTTAGAGTAAGACCAGCTACCATCAGGGTGAGTGGTAATCATGGGGGCACCATACTTGCTGAAAGTTCCATCTGTCCTGTGGCATCTGACAGCTATTAAAGTAATGAGACTCAGTAGAAAAATCACGGACACCGAAACGATGGCGATCAGCAGGTACAAGTTCAAATCAGTAAAGTTTTCTTCCTTTATGGGCACATGTCTAAACTGAGTCTGTACATCAGCTGTGCTTTCAACCACAACCACCTCTATAGACACAGTAGCTGACAGAGAAGGCTCTCCGTTATCAGAAACCAACACAACCAATGGATGAGTCTTCAGGTCATTGTCGCTCATTCTCCTCTTAGTCCTGATTTCCCCGGTACTGGTTCCAATCCGGAACAGATTGTTTCCTTTGGGCTCTGACAGGTGATAATTAAGCAGAGCATTGTATCCAGAGTCTGAGTCCACAGCCCTGATCTTTGTTACAAAGTATCCTGCTTCAGAAGAATAAGGAATGGTCTCACTGTTAACAGAGCCATGCTCAGAATATGGAGCCAAAATAGTTGGAGCATTGTCATTTTCATCGAGAATCAAAACTTTGACAGTCACGTTGTTGCTGAGCGGGGGAACACCAGAGTCAGTAGCCTGAACTTTAAACTGAAATGTCTTTAACTCCTCATAATTAAAAGGTTGCAAATTTACTATATCACCTGTCTCTGAGTTAATGTTTAAAATAGATGTTACTGGAATGTTTTTATATGAAGTATCTAAAAGTTTGTAGCTAACCTTTGCATTTTCTTCTAGATCTGGATCAAAGGCATGTATTGTGTAGATTTTTGAATTTAGTGGTCTGTTCTCTTTGACATTAATGTAAATTACTGGCTCTGTAAAACGGGGTGTGTTGTCATTCACATCTGCTACGAGTACAGTAATAATTTTGGTATCAGACAGCGGCGGACTTCCCTCATCTGTAGCTGTTATAGTGACATTATGAGCAGAGGTGATTTCTCTGTCCAATCGTCCATTAACTACTAATGAATAGTCATTTTTGTAGTTGGAGTTTAGTTTAAAGGGGCCAGATCCAACTATCTTGCAGTTTGTTGCACCATTATTCCCTGCATCTTTATCACTCACTGTAATGAAAGCAACTATCGTCCCGAATTCTGCATCTTCTTTCACAGGTGCCATCAAAGATGAGACAGATATTTCTGGAGCATTATCATTAACATCGATTAATTCTATAAGTAATTTAGCATATGCACTTCGAGGTGAGGTTCCCTGATCTTTTGCTTGGACTCTAATTTCATAAGCACGTGTTTCTTCATAATCCAGATTGGCTTTCAAAGTTATTTCTCCTGTTTCTGAGTGTAACTCAAACATATTTGATGGGTCAACATTTCCTCTTTTAATAAATGAGTACAAAATCTTAGCATTTATTCCTTCATCCATATCTGTCGCATTTAATTTTATTATAGGTGTTCCTAGAGGTGTGTTTTCCTTTACACTTACTTTGTAGAGCGATTGGCTAAAATTTGGTATATTGTCATTTGAATCTAAAACATGAACAATTATTTGTAGTGACCCTGATTTGGGAGGCTTGCCTCCATCAATTGCTGTTAACAGAAGTGTTATAACTGAATGTGTCTCCCTATCTAAAGCTTTTTGCAAGACTAACTCAGCCGACAGACCATGTTCTCCACCGCTTTGAACATCTAGAGAGAAATGTTCATTTTGATTCAGCTTGTAGCTTTTCACAGCATTATTCCCTATGTCCGCGTCCACAGCTACAGGGAGAGGATATCGTTCTCCTGTTAGTGATGATTCAGAAATATTAATGAAATGCTTTTTTTCAACAAATGCGGGAGCATTATCATTTATGTCTAGGATTTCAATCTCTATGCGATGCGCAGTCATTGGGTTTATTAAAACCACTTGTGCGTGAAGCAAACATTTGACCATATGCGGACAAAGCTCCTCCCTGTCTATTCTCTCATTGACAAAAAGGTTTCCAGTCCTCAGATTAACATCAAAATATGTCTTACTGTTACTCGAAATAACACGTAATTCCCTACTCTCAAGATCCTGAACATTTAGGTTTAAATCCTTCGGGAGGTTCCCCACAACGGTACCTTTATTCACCTCCTCCGATACGGAATAGGACAGTTGTGAGGAAGAGCAGCCACTCAGACAAAGAAACGCCGTAAAGATAATCCAGAGGTATTCGTTTTCTCCTCGCTGATACATCATTGGAACAAAAAGGATTGGCCCAAAGGAAGAAAAAAATCATTTATCCAGAGTAGACATAGTTTCATCCAGAGGAATTGTGTTAATGACAGCCCAGTAACAACGTTCCGACCAGCCCTGCCACTGGCTTGTTAGAGACGTAAGGCGATTCTTATCGTTTTTTGTTTTTTTTAAAGAGGAGGACTTTTAAATATATGATCACTCTCGCATGCACGGTCTCTAGCGACATCAAGTGTTGAACAATAATTTAGAAAATATATTGTTTTTAACTCAAACCCAGACAACATGCTTAATATCGAAGAAAAAAAATATGACGGAGATGAACGGCCAGGCTACAGATTTTTTTTTAAATTATACGATAATAAAGTCATAACATTATGAGGAAAAGTCGTGATATCACAAGAATAAAATGGCAACATTACGAGATTTAAGTATAACATTTACGAGGATAAAGTTTTAAATTTACCAGAATGAAGTCATCCTACTACAACCCGTTTAGAAGCTTCGAGCTCCGACCAGCATATGACTGCCAATCAGCACCACCAAACAGCAACCTGAGTCCATTTTGACAAACTTCTGGTGTGCTAAAAGATTTCCCTATTTGTCAAACCGATGCCAAAATATAAATTCAAATGATGCTCGACATTCCTCATTTTAGGGAATAAGTTCTTCTTGTAAGGGTTGTCATAAAACACAACTTAATTCTCTTAATATTACGGCTTTATTCTCATAATCTTATAACTTTATTCTTGTTGCAACTTTATTCACGTAATTTAAGGATTTTATTATTATAATATTACGACTTTATTCTTTATTCATATATCTTGACTGGCCCTAACACTCCATCGTAGCAAATATTCTGTCTCAAAATTATAAAAATGTGAACAGTTCTTTACCTTTTT